TGCCCAGGGCAGTGGTGGAGTCACCATCCCTGGAGGTATTCAAAAAACATGTAGACGTGGCACTTCGGGACATGGTTTAGCAGGCATGGTGGTGTTGGATTGATGGTTGGACTTGATGATCTTAGAGGTCTTTTCCAACCTTAATGATTCTGTGATTAAGTCCTTCTTAGCGGGGCTGCTCTCAATCCCTTTATCCCCCAGCCTGTACTGATACTGGGGGTTGTCCCGAGCCAGATGCAGGACCTCGCACTTGGCCTTCTTGAACCTCATGAAGTTCATATGGGCCCATTTCTGGAGCCTGTCCAGGTCTCTCTGTTCTGTCAGTTTGTTGTGATGTACAGTGTGGATCCCTCCAGTAGCTTGGCTTAGACGCTCAGTCTGCCGAATAGCTGGTCCTGGTCTTGGTTTCCTGTGTTACTAGCACATGGACATAATGAGCCTCTGAGGCCTCCAGCCCCGCTCCACTTGCTGGTACAGACCTTACTTGCATGCATGCACATGCTTACACATGAGCACACAACCCTCTGGTATTTGGCCCAGACTCCCCTAGTTCCTCTGGTAACCAACTGCTGTTGTTGCCTTGCCCTTAGAGACACACGGACACATGTGCACCCTCCCCTTTTCTAATTGTCCCTTAATCAGGGACAAGGCATGGCCAGACAACCCTCTGAGCATAGATTTTGGTAGTTTGATTCATTTTCAGGATAATTTTTTGAGGGCCAGCAACTTGAAGTCACTCTGCCCATTTTGTTGATTTCAGTCATGTTTTAAGGAAGCATGTGCAGAAGGGGCCTAAGAGGGGTGGCAGCCCTGTGCTCCCTGCCCCTGTCTGCCTGGAGTCTGGTGCTTTTGAAAATTTCTTTCTCCATCTCTCTATCCAGCCAGTGTTTTTTAATTCCTCCCTCTCTGCCCTGTTGCCCATGGAATCTTTTGCCTTTCTCCGTCTCTCTTGGGCCGGCTCTCTGTCCCTATTCATTGATTCTTCCCTCTCCACCCTGTAGCCTGTTGCTTTTGTCCTTTGTCCTTCTTACTGTCTCTGGCTCCCCAGTGACCCTATTTTAGAATCCCCCCTTCTTTCTGTACGCATTGCTGTTCATTTTGCTCTCCAGCTCTTTTTTCCAGCTCCCAGTCCCTATTTCTTAATTCTTCACTCTTTGCCCTGTAGCAGGTAGCTAGGTGGTTTGTTTTGGGTTGTTTCCCCCACGCTCACACCTTCCCTCCATCATTCGCTGTCCTGGCTCCCTTTTCTGGTTGTTTCATTCCTCCCTCTCTGCCCTGCTCTTTGTAG